TGAAAAACTCAAGTAATCAGGCCCTATGAACTTGCTCTGATACCATCTAAAGAAAATAAACCATAGACCTGTTAGGATTAAATGATGAACAATGGAGATTTGGCTGAAATTTTTTTCGTATATTTTATCAATAACAGAGCACGATATATATATACAATAGAGCATTTTAATCAATCCTATTTCTAAGGCTTACAAGCCGTAATCCCACTTTTAGTGAGATTTGATATACTCTAACTAAGGAAAGTAAATATATTACAATAATATTTCTTAATACGGTAAGGCATCAAATACTCCATATTATACTATTATCTGTCAACAAGTCAAATAAATATGCGTTAGGTCCAAACTTATTAGAAATGTTGAATTTCAAGTGAGTTGAAGGAGCTATGAGGATAAGGTGGTTGTGGTGAACCAAATTATAAGATAATCACCTTCCAAATTTTTTTGATTCCTATGACGAGTATATGCAATAAATTTATAATTTTTATTACTCAAAACAATTTGTGATCTTATATCGACATGAAGCTCATGGGCATGCTCAACAAAGGAATCAGAGATTTTAAATGAAGGAGGAGGTGGAGGCAGCAAAATAAAGTCAATGGGCTGGCCAAGGAAAATCCCATATATAATTCCATAAGAGCAATTGTCAGCGCACTAATTAGCTAAGCTATTATATGCAAACTCCATGACAGATAACAAAAAGTCCAAAGTGTTTAAGGGCACCCTTACAAGATAATTAACCAACTTTCCTAGATCATGATTAACAACCTCAATTTTTCTGTGATGCAGACGGTTAGCAGCGGGTTTGAGCTCCGGCCAGCCAATTTTTTTGACCACAATCCGGTGTTCAAAGTAAAACCTCCCAGAGATGTTAAGTGGCCTAATTGTTCCAAAATAGAGATGGCTTAATTCAATAGATCTTTGGCGTTGTACACTAGGCTTAACAATAATAGGGCTCTCTCTAGAAATTATTGAATATTTCTGGAGTACTGCCAATATTATACCTAGTTGTGTAACTATTTAAAAAAAGAAAAAAAGAAAAAAAAAAAAAGCAAAGAGAGATTAAAAAAAAAAAATGACTGTTTATTGGCTGAAGTTTGTTTTGGGCACCAAATCGTCAAAAATACACCAGCTCCCCTCAGCTTTATTTCTATTGATGAAGTTTTGAGAGCCAAGGCATACCAAGGTATTGGAATTGTTTTTTTGTGTTTTACATGTTGTTATTGTTGTTATTATTATTATTAGTATTATTATTATTAATTTTCGGATAACTAGAGAGGTGTTCTCACACTTTGGGTGAAGTTAATCCTTTTGGAATACATGACAAGGTCAATGTCTCAATGATAAATGCCAATTTTAATTCTGAAAAATTCCTTGTCAATTTAAGGATCAATTTATTAATTTATAGAATAAGATTCTGATTGGATTGGCTTTTCAAACGTTACTTTTGGCTTTTTAAATTTAAAAGCTGTTTTGATTAGTGTTTGACTATATTTTTTGAAAGAGTTTTGGGACTTGGAAGAGCGTTTTGTAAATTTGTAGAAACTGGTACCCCCTAACTTCTCTAAAACTCTCTTCCAAGATAACACGGGAAGCTAAATTGATCTTTAAATGATACTTTTAAAAACCCCGGCGTACCCTTATTTATTAGTGGGAAGAAAAAAATCCAAACGTATCCCTGTATAACCTAACATCTATTTTCTTCCTAAACCCTAGCATACCACAAACTCTACGAGTGAAGATATCCCATCTGAAAGGTTCAATTGGCCACCAACGTTCTCTCCCTTTGTCCGACGACGGTCACCGGCGACTTCCATTGGACTAACCACCGTCTCACACTCACTTGACTTGCCAATTTTATTTATAAATATGTGTATGTATATATGTGTGTGTGTGTGTATATATATATATATATATATATTGTTTATACGATTATTTTACCCAATGGAAAAGAGACAAGTGGCGAGTTTTGACAAAGCGTATCATATTGATTTAATGTTCTAATTGCCTAAGGAAAAAAGGGTGTGACATGAAATTGTTAATGTGGTTCCTTAAATAGAAAAGAGGTACGTGGTAAGTTCCAATGGTACTTGCCATGTTAGACTACAATATTGATAAATATTACACCTTGGAATATTTAAATTATGGGAAATTAAAGGACAAGTGGCGAGTCCCTTTAGGACTTACCAAATTTAGGATATAATGTCTTAAAAGGAAAAGAAAATGGCGTGGAGTTATTATCATGAGTACAATCTCATAAAAAGGCTAAAGTCAGCCAACCAATAATTTATCGACATATGGCGAGGTTTATTAAACTTACCACGATGGATTAATTTTGCTAAAGTTGAATTTATTTGGAAGATCCTATTTTAGTAGGATACCAATTAGATAGGTATTTTCTATTTAAATAAAAGTTGAGTAAGTCATGGGGACGTGGAGGCAACTTTCTCCTTATTTTTAGGAGATTTCAACAATGGTTCACCCAGTCAACTTCTGTTGCTAAAATTTAGCAAGACGTGGGATTTAATTTATTTCTTTATATATATATATATATATATATATATATTAGGCTTAAACCCACGATGAAGGAATTACCATGAAAAGGGAGTCCATGAAGCTATGAGGTCTAAATCCAGAGGAAGTCAAGGTTGAAGAGAAGTTGCTAAAATTAAGGAAGTGAGCAACAACCATAACCCACGATGTAAACTCGGTGACCATGACTCCATGAAAATAATATGGAAGGTTCAGCCTAAAATCAAGGAAACCGTGGTCTACAGAAGAACGGGAGGTAGGTTGGAGAAATATAGATGTGTACAAATATACTCTGGGAAACTACCCATGATGGAGTAGTTGCTAAAATTAAGGAGGTCATGGCACCATGAACTCCAAACTTCAGAAGGAAAGTCTCAAGATGGAAGTTATGCACGATGAGGAGTTTTATCAGAAGTTAGAAACCACGACGCCATGAAAGGAAGGTTCTAGCATAAGTGAAAGACTATTAGAAGTCATGGGACACTTGGCTAAACAGGAATATATCGGTTGAAAGTGGTGGAAACCTATAAGGAAACTACCACTAACCAAGGGAAGTTATCAAGAGTCATGGGTGACAGGGTAGTACTTGATGAAATCATGTCGGAAGTTAAGGAAAGGAGTTGACGAAGTGAGGAAGAAGAATAAAATCATGGGACAATTCCCAAGTCAGGAAGAGAGCACGTGGGAATTCATTCTGAAACTACCCATGACGCAAATTCGTTGAAGACTAAAGAGGACGTGGTTGAAGTCTATAGCAGAAGATGGATAAGATGGAAGAAGTTATAACCGTTGAGGAATCATGGGACATGTGGCAGTCCGGAACCATTCCACGTAGAAGCTGTTGAAATTGCCACACCTAGTTAATGCATGCATGGAGAGCTCTATAAATAGAACACTTAGGCTTCACTTGCAAACCCTGTTCAAATCACATAGCAAAACAGCAGTTCAATATCTTTACATTCATGTATCTTTACATTCATGTAATGCACCTTCAATATGTTTAATTCAAGTCCTGCGCTTATTATTCCTACTTTCTAGCACTTTACTTTGAAGTTCTGCACTTTTAATAACGCTTTCTTTTCCACTAGCCATAGTTCAGTCCAAAAGTCCTTTTTCAAGGCAAAAAGAACCCTTGAAGGTGGTAATTCCAGTCCTTCATTCAATCGCCTGATCCCTGCAATTTCCTACTGGATAGTTGTTCGGATACTCACTTTGGAACGACAGCAGTTCCTGGCACGCTCGACATCCACTCCTACTTTCCACTCAGCTGGAAAGCGGAACTAGTGCTTTTCTGCGAGCCGAACATATATATAAGGTGATTTTGTAATTGGGCGATCAATTGTTACGATTATTGTTATAATTACTATATCATATAAATAAAGATGGGAGGTAGCATTGATTTTGTAAGGTGAAATAAGGAGTGGAAATAGGACAATATATGAACTAGAAATATGTTATATTGAACCAAATTCCATCATTTATGTGCAAAACTGTGATGTGCCAGAATTTCGTTATAATCCTTTCGAAGTTCTTCATTAAGAGAAAATTACTTTTGGGGATCATTCAGCAGGAATTGTTGTTTAATATTAGTATCTGATAATGTGTTATGGATTAATTTTCTTTCTTCTTTGTTCCTGTAGAGGAGCTTGATTCTGTCAATTTTATGTTCTGTGTTAAGTCAAATTGTTATGATGTGTATTATTTTCTTTAATCTAATGTGCAGGGATGCTAGGGCCCTTCAAGAGAAGGCCGCGAGGAAAGCAACCCAGATAGCATTTGGAGAATTGGAGGGAACAATGATAGTGGTGTTGATAACAAAATTAAGAAAAAATTATTATAATTGTCTTTATTGGGAAGAAAAAAGTGTTATATCATACCTGAGTTTGGAATTTTGAAGTCTTGTGTTTGTGTCATATGGTATGAAGAGTAGAATTCAAGTTTGCTTGGTGCAGGCTTTTGAACCCACCCTTTTTATTTTTATTTTTTATATCTGAATTTGCAATTTCGTGATAGATTTTATAATGAATTGGTGAATATTTTTATTTTAGCACAATGTACTCTCCCTCTCTCCTTTATATATATGGCATGATCTCATAATTTGGTGATGTTAATGATTTATTTGTATGGTTTTAGGGAATAGTAGTATGTTATCAAACATATTAAAAACAAAAGCTATAAAGGCAAAATAATTATTTCATTAATAAAAGAGCTTCAATAAATGCTTTGTCAAATCGATAAAAAAATTCTACTAACATTAAAATCTCTTCCAAAATATCAAACCACATACAAATTTTTTATTTTTATGTTTTTACATGGTAAAACAAAGGTACGCTTTTATTTGCGGGTGTTCAACATGTTGACGATGTGAGATTATGCCATTGAGCCGAAGCCCTCCATTGGTGATATAAACTTATCTTACCCATATACATTTTTGTGGTGTGTGAGTGTTTTTGCATTTTAGGGAAATATAAAAACCTCTCATTTTCCACCCAAAGCCATGTGTATCTATAGCTTCAAATCTCGTGTGTCTCTTCTTCCTCTTCCTCTTCCTCTTCCTCTACTCAATCTTCTCCTTTATCTTGACCCAGCAACACCATCCACTTGACCCACTCACTCCAACAGAGCTCAATCAAGTCCGAACCATAGTACACCGGTCCAGACCCAGTCCACACCACAACCTGACCTTCCACTATGTAGGCTTAGATGAACCACATAAACCCACCATCCTCACATGGCTGTCAAACCAAGCCACCCAAAACCCACCTCGCCGAGCCTTCATTATCGCCCGTATCATCCATAAAACTCATGAAATTGTGGTGCACTTACCGTCTGGTTTGATCGTATCCGATCGAGTCTATCATGGACATGGTCACCCTGTGCTCAACTTTGAAGAACAAGTAGCTGCAGTCCAGTTGCCACTAACATATGCGTCATTTATAGACTCAATTGGCAAGAGAGGGCTTAAGTAAGAGGAAGTTGTGTGTGGGAGTTTCACTATAGGGTGGTATGGAGAAAAGAGAGAAAGTAATAGGGTGATCAAAGTTATGTGTTATTACTTGGATGGGACTGTTAATCTGTACATGAGGCCTATTGAGGGTATAACAGTGATTTTTTATCTTGATGAGATGAAAATCAAGGATTACAGTGACAGATCGATGGTGCCTGTACGGAAGGCAGATGGAACAGACTACAGAGAATCGAAGCAGAAGCCGCCTTCCACGTTTAAAGGGGATAACAGTATTGCAAGCAGAAGGTAAGATGGATAGTCACAAGAACCATGATATTGACTGTCTAATAGAAGTCCCTAATTTTTTTTTTTACGTACATTGGTATTTTCACACTTGTTATGGGACTCTAATTCTATGGAAGTATAGTGGAGGGTAGATGTTAATCATTCTATTTGTTTACTCTTCATCGTGTTGAGATCTTAATGATTCTAAGGGCTGTAATCCTAGTTTTGGGTGAACTAACTTTTATCCCCAACTCTATGGATATATTCCTAATTTTTGGATGAACTAATATCGTGTTGAGATCTTAATGAATTTATGTACCGAATTTTAATTTTGGGAAAACCAACTTTGACATTTTTTTTTTTCGTGAGTAAATGATAGGGAGTCTAAGATTGGACCAATTTTATGTGAGTATAGGCTGAGAGAATATTAAGGATATCATGATGATGTCAGTCCTCACTCACATAAATCAATCAAAGTTGGCCGACTTTCAGACTCTAAATCATTATTCTTTTTTTGGAACACTGTCTACATTCGTGTCATCATCCAACTCGTTAATTGGATGTGGTACAGTGAAACCCACAAAATTCTTCTCGTTCAACAAAAGATATTGGACAACCATGCATTAGTCACAATTTAGAAGTCTAACATCAAATGCAAATTTGATTCACACAGTTAATGAATAACATATCTAAATTTGTCACTACAATTAGGTGGGCTAACTGAGATTTCCATCTATCATTCGACATGCGAGCAGGTCCAGTAATATCCTTGGCATCAATCTATGACCTCGACAAGGATGAATATCATCGAGTTCTCTATAAAGGGTTTGTGTCAGAGCTCTTTGTGCCGTACATGGATCCAACAGAAGAATGGTACTGCCCACTATTTATTCCATTATTTTACCCCATGGAAAAGAGACAAGTGGTGAGTTTTGACAAAGCTTACCATATTGATTTAATGTTCTACTTGTCTAAGGAAAAGAGGGTGTGACATGGAATTGTTAATGTGGTTCCTTAAATAGAAAAGAGGTACTACAATATTGATAAATATTCCACCTTGGAATATTTAAATTATGGGAAATTAAAAGACAAGTGGCGAGTCCCTTTAGGACTTACCAAATTTAGGATATAATGTCCTAAAAGGAAAAGAAAATGGCGTGGAGTTATTATCATGAGTACAATCTCATAAAAAGGCTAAAGTCAGCCAACCAATAATTTATCGACACATGGCGAGCTTTATTAAACTTGCCACGATGGATTAATTTTGTTAAAGTTGAATTTATTTGGAAGATCCTATTTTAGTAGGATACCAATTAGATGGGTATTTTCCATTTAAATAAAAGTTGACTAAGTCATGGGGATGTGGAGGCAACTTTCTCCTTATTTTTAGGAGATTTTAACAATGGTTCAGCCAAGTCAACTTTTGTTGCTAAAATTTAGCAAGACGTGGGATTTAATTTATTTCTTTATATATATATATATATATATATATATATATATTAGACTTAAACCCATGAAGGAATCACCGTGAAAAGGGAGTCATGAAGCCATGAGGTCTAAATCCAGAGGAAGTCAAGGTTGAAGAGAAGTTGCTAAAATTAAGGAAGTGAGCAACAACCATAACCCACGATGTAAACTCGGTGACCATGACGCAATGAAAATAATATGGAAGGTTCAGCCTAAAATCAAGGAAACCGTGGTCTATAGAAGAAATGGAGGTTGGTTAGAGAAATATAGATGTGTACAAATATACTCTGGGAAACTATCCATGATGGAGGAGTTACTAAAATTAAGGAGGTCACGGCACCATGAACTCCAAACTTTAGAAGGAAAGTCTCAAGATGGAAGTTATGCACGATGAGGAGTTTTATCAAAAGTCAAAAACCACGATGCCATGAAAGGAAGGTTCTAGCAGAAGTGAAAGACTGCTAGAAGTCATGGGACACTTGGCTAAACAAGAATATATCGGTTGAAAGTGGTGGAAACCTATAAGGAGACTACCATTAACCAAGGGAAGTTATCAAGGGTCATGGGTGACAGGGCAGCAGTTGATGAAATCGTGTTTGAAGTTAAAGAAAGGAGTTGACGACGTGAGGAAGAAGAATAAAATCATGGGACACTTGCCAAGTCACGAAGAGAGTACGTGGGAATTCATTCTGAAACTACCCATGGCGCAAATTCGTTAAAGACTAGAGAGGATGTGGTTGAAGTCTACAACAGAAGATGGATAAGATGGAAGAAGTTACAACCGTTGAGGAATCGTGGGACATGTGGCTGTCCGGAATCATTCCATGTGGAAGCTGCTGAAGTTGCCACACCTAGTTAATGCATGCATGGAGAGCTCTATAAATAGAACACTTAGGCTTCACTTACAAACCCTGTTCAAATCACACAGCAAAACAGCACTTCAATATCTTTACATTTATGTATCTTTACATTCATGTAATGCACCTTCAATATGTTTAATTCAAGTGCTGCACTTATTATTCCTACTTTCCAGCACTCTACTTTGAAGTCCTGCACTTTCAATACCGCTTTCTTTTCCACTAGCCATAGGTTAGTCCGAAAGTCATTTTTCAAGGCAAAAAGAACCCTTGAAGGTGGTAATTCCAGTCCTTCATTCAATCGCCTGATCCCTGCAAATTCCTACTGGATAGTTGTTCGAATACTCACTTTGGAACGACAGCAGTTCCTGGCACGCCCGACATCTACTCCTACTTTCTACTCACCTGGAAAGCGAAACTAGTGCTTTTTCGTGAGCCAAACATTCTTGGCATGCCAGGTAGGACATCTAGACAGATTGTTCAATGGCCGATGGAAGAAGGCAAGGCAAGTCTATCCAAGTCGCTACCGAACTAGAAGAGATGAAAGTCAGTGAACTTCCAATGGAAAGTTCACGATTTGCACCTGATAAAAATGATATGGTGGAAAATTTTGCTCAAATAATGACAAATGGACCTATCATAGACAACATACACATGATGGCAATGCAACAAGATAGGTTTGCGCAAGACCAAGCTAAAGTCGCTTAAGACTTAGCCAGAATTGCTCAAGACCAATCTAAAGCTGTTATTTCTCAAGAGCGGAATTTAGCAGAAATGGTGGACCAAATCTCTCGTAGGTTTGAGTCCATGTTGGAACGAACCCTTGGAAGCTTAAACCAAGGTTTGGCCCCTCGGCGAAACAACTCTGAAGGGTTTCAACAGTCAGCCTTCCGAGCTAATAGGCCAGCCACGTTTGTTGAAGGGAGTTCCTCTCAGCAATATGCAGGTCCACTCCCTCCAACTCAGTAACAGGTGCAGTCCTTTCCAATGGCACAAATGACTGTTCCACAAGCTGCGCCCATGCCAACCATTCAGCAAGTTCAGAATCCTCCACCTATGGCATTTCCACAGCAGACTTGGCATGATCAGCCTGGCCAACCATGGCCATGCCACATCCCTCAAGCACAACAGAATGTTCCACTTGTGAACATTCAGCCAGCTGCACCTGTTCCTGCAAGGCCACCACCTATGGTTATTCTTATGGCGGTTGGGGGGCAACCTTTTCCAAGGGAGCCACTTCTTGACCAAAGAGGAAGGAATCGTGGTAGGAACAATTATGCAGATGCCAACCCCTTGCTTATGGCGGGTGGGGGGCATCAAGTGGCCAATCAACCTCAAGGTTGGCCAGACAACAACCCTCTACAACCTATTGCGCTTGATAGAGGCCAATTTGTAGAATTCTTTCAACAGGAATTTGGCCTAACTCGAAGGGGTGGAAGGCCAACTTACAAAAAACCCTATCTAGAGTTCATTAATGAAGTTGAATTTTTAAGGAATTTCAGAATTCCAGAGTTTGCAACGTTCAATGGAGAGGGCGAACAGTTTACCTTAGAATATATCAGTAGGTTCATTGTCCAATGTGGAGGAGCAGCAGCCAATCCATGGCTGAAGATACGCTTGTTTCCAAACACACTGATGGGATATGCTTTCCGGTGGTATTCCAACTTGCCAGCCAACTCCATTCAAAGTTGGCAGCAATTTGAGGATTTATTCCATACTCAGTTCTATAGAGCTGAGCTTGAAGTGTCCATGGCAGACCTTTCCAGACTTCATCAACTACCTGGAGAGTCCGTGATGAGCTTCCTTTCCAGATTTAGGCAGGCCAAGTTCAAATGTAATTTGTCTTTGCCACCAGAAGAATATGTGAAGATGGCTGTGAATGGCCTAGAATTTGAACTTTGCAAGAAGTTTGAAGGTGTACAATTTGATGACTTGTTTGACTTGGCCGGCAAAGTGGCTATGTATGAAGAGCTCCTTCGTGAGGAGCAAGATATGAAGAATTCTTCTAAGGGCACCTATTATTGTGATCCTAACTATGAGGTGTATACCACTGAAAATGAAAGGGAGTTTGAAGTCAATGTAGCCGAGCTCAATATAAAGAAGGCTTACACTTGTGAGGCTATGGCAAAACCAAAATCAGCCATGGCCAACTTGCAGGCCGCCTCTGGTTCCAAGTGGAAGGGGGCAGACTCTTCCAGAAGTTACTTTTTTGACATTTCTAAAGCCGAGCAAATCTTTAATTTGCTCATGGCTAACAAGCAACTGATTTTCACAGCGGGCCATAAGATGCCGTCGGCTTTAGAAATGGCCGAGAAGGAGTATTGGAAGTTCCACAATTCGTGGAAGCATTCCACTAATAATTGTGTTATCTTCCATAACATTGTGCAAAAGGCAATCGAAGATGGCCGTTTGAAGTTTCCAGAAAAATCAGAAGTCATGGGTGTTGATGGAAATCCTTTCCCAATGGTTGTTGCAACAAACGTTGCTTCTATGGCTCCGGAGCATTCCAAAAAGAAGGTGCACTTGGTAAATCTAGTGACCAGTGGAAAGTTGGAAATTCCAAAGGAGGCAACATCTATGGAGACGACAGTAGCTGAGTTAGAGAGGCAACTCCGAGAGGCCCAGATTGCTTTAATCCAACAAGGTTGTTGCCCCAAGTGTAAAGTTCAGAATGAAGGTTGCCGTAAAGACTTTCCAAAAGAGAAGTAGAATGAAAAGCCCTCCAATAGTGATTGGGGTCAGAAAAGGAAAGTTCATAACCGGCTAGCTTTCCAAAAAATGGAAAACACAGTTATTGTAACCATTACAGAGAAGGAAAGCTGTGTTCATCCAGAAAGGAAGGTAGCAGAGTGGAAATCTGAAATCCTTCCAAAGAGTGTGGAAAGGAATAGAATTTCCTTTCAGCCAGGTTCTCGTCCTCGCAGAAAGTTTAGAAGTAGTAGATGGCAAGACAGAGGTTCTGAAGTTGACAGGCATTCTAGGCCAAAAATGGCCTCGGAAGTATGGGTTAGAAGGAGGAGTGAGCATCTCCGACTAAGAATAGTTAGACCTCCTACCTATCAAGATAAGGGATGGAAAAGGCTTGATCATCCCAAGTTTCCCATTCATGATGACTCTTATATGACTCGCACACAAAAGCGAAGGCAGCAAAGGAAGAGGGCTGATAGAAGAAGGTTATGGGAGAAAGACCATGGTTGGTCCAGCTGGCCAAAGAAGACTACTAAGTTGTCAGACTTATCAGAGCTTCCAGTTAGAGGAAGAGAGAGAGATCCTGATGATTTGCTTGATCTTGATTTAGAGGCTAGAAATTCCTTAACTATAGACAATCCTCCGACAAAGATTTGGAAATTCCCAACAGTTCCAGTAGCAGCAAGAAAACCTGTTTTGGGAGCCTTCTAGGTGAATTTACTTGCAATATGGTAGTGGTTCTTCCTTTGTTTTTTGAGCCACAACCAGATCAGCCCAATTTAATGAAAGAAGATGTGGTAGATACAAGTCCTCCCATGGAAAGTCTTAGACAATCTAGTTTTGGTCCAACCATTATAGAACCAAATAATGGTATTCATATAGAGGAGGTCTTTGAAGATGAAGCTGAGCATCT